GTGCGTGTGCGTGTGCGTGTGCGTGTGCGTGTGCGTGTGCGTGTGCGTGTGCGTGTGCGTGTGCGTGTGCGTGTGTGTGTGTGTGTGTGTGTGTGTGTGTGTGTGTGTGTGTGTGTGTGTGTGTGTGTGTGTGTGTGCATGTGTGCATGTGTGTGTGTGTGTGTGCATGTGTATGTGTATGTGTGTGCATGTGTGTGTAGAACCTCCTCTGGTGCGAGAGGAGGCCCAGACAGGAGCCACTCCCGCTCTTCCGGCGCAAGCAGCCAGCGCGCCGCGTCGATGCGCCCCGAAGCGATCGCGTCCTGCAGGGTGGGTTCGAGTACCGTGGGGTAGGGGAGATTCAGTTCGGGTACCGTGGGGTAGGGGAGGGTAGGTTCGGATACCGTGGGGGTAGGGGAGGGTGGGTTCGGGGTACCGTGGGGGGTAGGAAAGGGCAATCGCGTCCTGCAGCGGCGCGCCGCTCCGCACGACGAAGAGCTGCGCGGCGATGGGGACAGAGAGCGCGCCGAGGGCCGCGAGCCTGCGGTACCATACCTCCAAAGTCACGAATCCAGCGTGGGTTCAGTCCCGTGGGTGGTGCGGTAGCCGGTCCTGCGTGGTGAGTACGCCGACATGTGGGCGGGAGGACGGCCTCGTGCCGCGTCTTCAGAGCGCCGCGTGAGTACGCGGGGTGCGAGCACAGCTGAATACGTCTCCTCTCGAGCGCGAGAGTCTAATTAATTAATTAAATAAATAAATAAATAAATAAATAAATAAATAAATCTCCTCTCGAGCGCGGGAGTCTGCCAAATGGATGGCCTCAGGCTGGCTGGCAGCGATGCCGAGCTGGTGCGCAAGAATACGTGGTCCGCTTCTAGAGCGGACTCGAGCGGCGACCCCGCCTAATCTCGGGTCATCTCGGGTCAGATCGGGTCAGATCGGGTGTCGTCTCGAGCGGCGGCTCCGCCTCCGCCAAGCCGTCTGCGCCGAGGAGGGCGAGGCTGGCGCGGAAGAGCGGAGCGGCGCGCAGTGTCGCGGCGACGGCGGCAGCCTGCGGCGCGCGAGGGTCAGGCATGAGGAGAGAGGGTGGGGGAGGGTGGGAGAGGTGGGGGAGGTGGGGGGAGAGACGCCTGCGATGTGCAAGAGTCAGTCGTCACGGGCGCGTGAGTGCCATCGATGTGTCAGATGTGTCGCATGCGTGTGGTGTGCGTGTGGTGTGCGTGTGGTGTGCGTGTGGTGTGCGTGTGGTGTGCGTGTGGTGTGCGTGTGGTGTGCGTGTGGTGTGCGTGTCGTGTGCGTGTGGTGTGTGGCTGCCTGCGCCGCGCTGCCGAGCGTGATCCCTCTCGCCACCTCTGCCTGAGCCAGCTCGGAGAGCCGGACGAGGCACGGGACCTGTTCACAGCTGCGGGTGTGAAGAGGCGCCGTTCACACTCACGGCTCGGAGAGCCGAGCCGGGCGAGGCACGCGCGACCTGGCCCGCCCCGTCGAGCACCTGTCAGAGCGACACCAGCGCCAGACGGCCGGTGGTAGTGTCGAGCAGCCACCCATCGAGCCGCCGCCGCCACCGCCGCCGACACCGCCACCGCCGCCGACACCGCCGCCGCCGCCGCCGCCGCCGCCGCCGCCGCCGCCGCCGCCGCCGAACTCGGCGCCCAGCTCGTACTCGTCCGTGTAGACGAAGCGAAGGAGCGACCCCAACGACGCCGCGCTGCCCGCAGGCAGCTCGTACGTCCTGGTGGAACTGCCGCCGCCGCCGCCGCCGCCGCCGCCGCTGCCGCCGCCGCCACTTATGCCCTGGCCGGCAGAGACGTCTGGACCGAGGGCGCCGGCGGCGATGGCTTCGACCACCTCCCTGCCGCACCGAAGCTGGAGCACGACCTTGTGCGCGCACACGGTCTCGCCGCCGTCGACGAAGCGCAAGTCGGCGAGCTCTCCTGCAAGGGGCGGTGCGGGTGGGTGAGCAGTGCGTCGCGTGGCGTGGCGTGGCGTGGCGTGGCGTGGCGTGGCGTGGCGTGCGTGGCGTGCGTGCGTGGCGTGCGTGCGAGAGCAGGCTGAGGCGTGGCGTGGGGTGCGTGCGTGGCGTGCGTGCGTGGCGTGCGTGCGTGGCGTGCGTGCGTGCGAGAGCAGGCTGAGGTGGTCCTGGGTAGGTGTTTGGAGGCGTGCATGCTGGCTGTGTGTGATCACGCTACGAGTGTGCGCCCGATTCCAGCAGCGTGAGGAGCCCCGTCTCGAGGTCCGCGAGCAAAGACGGCGGGCGCACGGTGATTTCGCGCGCGGCGGTGCGCAGCGGCGGCGCGGCGCGAGAGCGAGGCTCCGGCTCAGCAGGCGGGGCGAGCAGGGGCACCGTCGGCTCCGCGTCTGCGCCACCACTCAGGGCTCTGTCGCCGAGCGCCTCGCCGCCGTCAGCGGCGTTGCGGCCCGGGGTCGGCGGCCCGAACGGATTGGCATCGGCAGGGAGAGGCGGCAGCACGGGCGCCAAGGCCCGTGGCGCAAACAGGCTCGCTGGCACATTCTCTGGGGATTGGCGGCGCGGCGAGCCTTCCTCGGAGGAGAAGGAGAAGGGATTCCCGCCCGTGAAGGCTGGCACAAGAGCGTCGTCTGGCACGTCGTCCGTGAAGGGGTTCATGAGCTCTGGATGGTGCTCAACTTCAATGGCGGGCCTGACACAGTGGACAAAAAGAATTTGCGGGGGGGGGGCGGCGGGCGCGGGTGCGAGGTGCGGTGCGGTGCGTGCAATCGTGTGTTTGGCGTCATGTCGTGTGTGCCTTCGCTTGTTCCTATTAACAACGAAGTCTAGCTCAAAAGAATTTTAAGCTACATTCCCTGTTTCTTGTTTCCTATTAACAACGAAGGCCAGGTGAAAAGAAAAATCTTGTTGTCCTGTTAATAGTTCACCTATTTAAAAAAGAAAAACTGCGCGGGATTCGCTCTCTACCGCCCTGGATGCGCCTCCATCAGCTCTCATGTCTCATCACAGTCAGTCATCGTAGTCAAGCGTAAACGCCCAGGAGTTGGTGCCTGGGTGACTTGCTGATGAGAGCGCCTTCCAGGCGGGTAGTCGTGCCCCTCACCAAAGATCATACGGCGGTGTCAGAGGGGGGGAGGGGCGCGAAGCGTGAACATGGAGGCAAGCAGGTGGTGGCTGCACCTGGCCAAAGCCGGCGACCTCAAAGTTGTCGTAGCTTGTGCGGATATCGCTGAGCGTGAGAGGGACCGGATCGGCAGCAGCATGGGCGGCCGCGTCAGCGGCCGGAGAGGCCGGAGAGCCATCCGACGGAGGCCGGTCGTGCATCGGCGCGTCAGCCGCAGGGGGCGGGGGGGCGGCGGCATCCATCGCTGCGGGTCGCTGGGGGCCGACGATTGTGGACTGATCGATCGTGGCGGGCGGATTTCGGCTGGGACGTTCTACGTTAAAAGAGCGTCGGCTGGGCGAGTCACGCCCGGCACAGGAGAGAATCTACCAAGTAGCATTCACACGAAAGTTCTAATAAAACGCCGAATTATTGACACGCGCTCCGAGTCCTTGGCCGAGCAAGCGACCGATTTCCACGGCCATGCGGGGCTGCTTCAAAGACATACGGCCCACGGCCGACGAGGTGTGCACGCGTGTAGCACGCCGCGGCGAGCCTCGCGCCTTGCACAAAGCCCCTGCCCCCTCTCGCTTCAGGTCAAGCCTCCACTGCGCATCGCCTCTTTCATCGTGCGGCGCCCCTGCTTCACCGCGCTCGGCTCCCTCTTCGTCGCCGTCATCCTCGCAAGTGAGGGAAACCGGGCCGGGTTCAGCGGCGCCGAGGAGCTCAGCGATATCTTCCCCCAGCAGGACTACCCCGTCTATGACACGATCTCGCAGCAGACGGATGCGGTCATCATGGCGATGGAGCAGTCGGAGGAGAACTTTGCGCTCCGTTCCCGCCGCCGCGCCCTCTCCGCCCGCTTCACCGCACCGAGCGCCACGGGCGCGCGTCGCTTCCTCTCGTCCTCGGGGGTGCAGCACCTCCAGCGCGCCGCCGCCCGCTTCGATGGCGCCGAAATGGGCGATCGTGCCGTCGCCGGAGCTGGCGAACCTGCCTTCGAGCGCGGCCGCGAGCTGTCGTCGACGCCGATAAACCAGACGAAGCAGACCGAGTCGCTGGGTGAGGCGATCTTCTCCTTTGGCGCGCGCGAGGACGGGGGCGACTCCTTCTCCGAGGCGGGCCTCGCCGAGCTCTGCCGTATGCATGTCGAGATGATGGAAACCAAGGACTACGACCAGTATTGCCTCCGCAGTGAGTTCGAGACGCCGGACGTCGGGGTGCTGCCCGACGCGACTTGCAAAGCGCCTCGCACGCCCCTCGTCTTCTTTTATGGCGCGGGAGTAGTCGAGACACCGAGGGAGTGCCTCGGCACCGCCGACGCCGCCGCCGCTGCCACTGCCATCTTTAGCTGCACTTTTGGAGCTGTTCTTGCCTGGCGGCGTGAGGGGGGAAGAGACAGTCACCCGCCATGTGACTGTGTGCAGGCCCGACCTCGTACGACCCGGAGTCGGCCCTCGCCAAGTTCAACGTTCCGAACTTCGAGGAGATCATGGCGTGGCAGCTCGACCCTGCCAACACTGAAGCGGTGCGGCGCCCTTTACCAGTCTGCGCATAGACTCCGTGCTAGTCATCATAGCACGAGCTGTGAACTATAGGTGAAGACGCAGCAGGCGGCGGACAACGCGGCCACCATCAGCGATGAGAACAGCATCACGGTCGCAGAGGCACACTACACCACCGTCGACGCTCTGCGGGTTGAGCTCTCCACCGACGGGCCGATTGGCAAGCAGTGGTTTTACGGGCGCACGCGCTGCGGGGAAGGCGAAACTAAGGGGCAGGAGACGGCCAAGGACGCGGCTGCGGTCAAGAAGCTGGTGGCAAAGGTGCGCGGGACACTCACACGCACATATGCACAGTGCGCTGCTGCGCCTTGCACTCTACCTGCCGTGCGGCTCCTGTCATCGGACGTGGAGAGCTCTGCCTGTGTTGCCCTGCCATCCTTCTCCTTTTTGCCCTTGTGGGTGTGTGTGTGGAGAAGTTTGAACTTGTCTTACCTTAGGTGCGCGGGAGCAAGGCCCTCTCGGACTCGCAGACGGGCGGGCTCGTCAACTTCTATTTCGACTCCGCCTTCGGCGAAGACAACCTGCGTTCGCGCTACACGCGCAGCTTCTACCAGTTCGGCGCGCTGCCCCCCCCCCCCCCCCCCCGACCAGATTCGCGTAGCTCCTCCACCACACGCCCTCCCTGCTGCAGCGAGGAGCATCCATCTGGGCTCGGTCTCGGCCTCTAGGCGCGCCGCTGGCGGGGTTCGACAACTACATTGAGAGCGACCTCAAGGACGACCAGGACAAACTGGTGACGGACTGGTGGAAGGAAGAGGACATGCGAGGCCTCTACTCGAAGAACGGCCGCCTCTCGTGGAACGAGATCGAGCCGTCCGCCATTATCACCCTTGGGGACATCCTGCTCAACGAGTTTCTCGAAATTATCAAAGTAGACGGCATTCTCGCCATCGTCCCAATCGTCGCCGTTTTCCTCATCGTCTGGTGCCGACACCTCCGAGAAACTCCCCCGCGTACCTCACCTCCCGAGACAATTCCCCGCTTACCGACACCCTCCATATACACCGTTACCGTCCCCCGCCCCCCGCCCGCCACAGGCTGCACACCGGCTCGCTCCTGATCGCCTTTGCCACCCTCACCGAGCAACTCCTCTCCTTCTTCGTCGCCTTCTTCTTCACGGCGGTGGTGCTGCAGATCAAGTGGCTCTCGTTCCAATTCATCCTCTCCATCTACATCGTGCTCGCCATCGGCGCCGACGACACCTTTGTCTTCGTCGACGCATGGAAGCAGAGTTTCTACGCCGGCCCAGACGTGAACCGCAACCTGGCGACACGCATGTCGTGGGTCTACCGCCGCGCGGGCCTCGCCATGCTCATCACGTCGCTCACGACGTGCGCCGCGTTCCTCGCGACGGCGGTGGCGTCGGGGCAGGTGCCCGACCTGCAGCTGTTCGGAATCTTCACGGCCTTCGTCATCTTCATCGACTACGTGCTCGTGATGACGTTTCTCACCGCAATCATGGTGCTGTACCACAACCGCTTCGAGATGAAGCCGGGCCTCTGCTGCGCCTGCTGCGGTACGGCGGACACGCGGCAGGGGTGCAGCAAGGGTGGCTGCGACGCGCTCTGCGCCTCCTCCTCGAAGCTCGAGACGACGACGGCGATCGCCGAGCGCGGCGGCGCCGACCAGGTGGCCAAGCCGCGCCTCGTCACCTTCTTCGAGGACGTGTTTCCCTTTAGCATCATCCGGCGCCCGCCGGCGCGTGCAGCGTCCGTGGTGATCATGCTCGCGGTGCTCGCGCCGATGGCGTGGCAGGCGTCGCAGCTCGAGCCGCAGAAGGATGCGGCCCAGATTTTGCCCGACGACCATCCGTTCCAGCGCTTCTTCGACTTGAGCGCCGAGTTCGAGTCTTCGAATGAGGACGAGCCCGTAAAGCTCAGCGTCGTGTGGGGCTTTGAGGACAAGCCGCTCGACACGGACGGCGTCAATCGGCTCTTTGACCCGCAAAACAAGGGCCGCCTCGCCTTCAGTGCCGACTGGGTGCTCGACGGGCCGTGCAGAGGGGAGGCACACCAAGCCACGTCCATGACACGTCCGTGACGCGTCCCATAGGTCCTTGACGAGTCGGCGCAGTCGGGACTGCTGAGCGCGTGCGACCTGCTCGAGAATTCGGAGCTCGTCTTTGACAAGGAGACCGAGGCGGGCATCCTGGAGAAGGACATTGACTGCTGGGTGCGCGACTTCAAAAACTGGCGCAACACCACGCGCAACGAGATCTTCCCCGTTCCCGACGACGCTGACGTGGTCACGGCGGTCAAAGAATGGTGCGACGCCGGAGACGGGGAGACCGCGAGCGACTGCTCGCGCTACGTCGGCTTTGAGGTCGACGCGAACGGCGACCTCTACATCGCGTGGACTCGCGTTGTCATGGGCGTCAAGATGAACGAAAACGTCTTCCTTCCCGCGTCAAAGCTCCGCGAGAAATACGACGAATACGAGGGCCTCGTCGACAGCATCAACGAGGCGGTCATCAACACGACCCTCGGCGACGCGTTTCAGGCCGAGAGCTCACCTGAGATGCCGCGACGAGAGGCTCTGGGCGAGAAGCAAGGCGCCACAGCGTCCCACCGTCGCCGTCTCCCCTCCCTCGCAGGTGGCCGTGGGCGCCGAAGACCCGGGTGGACAGCCGCTCGCCAACAACAAGTGGATCAACATGGTTTTGCAGGAGCTGTACGTGCGCATGTCTACCGTCGGCGTCGCCATCGGCATCAGCATCGCCTTCATCGTCCTCCTCGTGTCCACCCGCAACCTCCTCGCCGCCTCCATCTCCGTCCTCTCTATCGCGTGCGCCCTCGTCACTGTGATTGGCATCACCGTCGCGATGGGCTGGGAGCTCGGCGCCAGCGAGGCCATCTGCCTGATGACCCTGACCGGCTTCGCCGTCGACTACGTGGTCCACCTCAGCCACTCGTACATGGAGTCCACCTCGCACTCGCCGCTCGAGCGCACGCACGACGCGCTGCGCGACATGGGCATCTCCGTCTTCTGGGGCATGCTGACCAGCTTCGTCGCGGCGCTCGCGCTGGCGTCGTGCCAGCTGCAGTTCCTCTCCAAGTTTGGCTACTTCTTCCTCCTGACCATCACGTTCGCCTACCTCTGGGCCGTGCTCTTCCTCATGCCCCTCCTCGCCACCATCGGTCCCCGCTCTTCGCCCCCCGACGGGAAAGCGGTGCCGATCACGCCGTACAACTCGAACACCACCACCCGCAAGGTGCCCGACGCCATCGAGGTGGCGTAGGGCGGAGCTAGGGGTGGCGGGCACGTCCCTGCCGCCTTGTGCATTTGATTAGGCGTGAGGGGGGTTTAGGATGAGCCTCCGGCGCGCTAGTGCTCTCCGAGCACGCGTCGCCGTGTGGGAGAGCGACGAGGGTAGTGCAAGCAGGTGGGCACGCTCCGCGCGGTTCGAGCGTTTGTACGTGGCTCAGTATCTGTGTTTGAGTATTGAAAGATGTTTTGTTTAGCTGTTTGATCCTCTGAGACCTCTCGAGCTCAAATCTCCCCAGAAAACTCTTATTGCAGTCACACACACCTTCACCTCTGCGGGGGGCTAGGAAGAGGGGGCGTTCTGCAGTTAAGGGGAAACCCGGTACACGGAACCAACCCTCGGAGACCCGTGTTATGGCCCTGCGACCGCGCACCCCCGGGGCTAGGGCTCTCTTGCCCGCAACCCGATGCCGAGCGTCCGGCCAACTGGGTGCGCTTCTCAGCTCCCCGGTCCTGGGCGTGAGGTTGCACTGACTGCACTCCAAGTGCTCCAAGTGAGGGGGGAGGCTGGCCTGAGGTCTGAAGCTCACCCATTGTGGAAGTGAGAACTGCTCGACCCACATGAGGACGGGGGAGCGCTCGCGGAGGGCGACGCGGCGCGTGACGCGGAAGAGGTACTCCTGCAGCGGGCCAGCGGCAACGCAGCGGTGAGAAGACGGGCAGCGGGATGGGGGGAGGGAGGGAGCAAGCGCGGGATGGGAGGGGGGTAGGGGCATGGACAACGGCCATCCACCAAATGTGTGTCTTTGGCCGCAAGCTGATCGCCACGGTGTGCACACCCAGGCAGGGGGAGCTCATCGCGCTCAAGCTAGGGCATCTGAGAGGCGAGAGCCTGCTCCGCAGCGCGTGTGCGGTGTGGGCCCGACGCCACCGATAGAGCCGTACACGCGCTGACGCACGCAGAGCGCGAGTGGCGTACGCACGGGGTGGTTTATATACAGAAGCGCCGGTCAGGTTCGGTTGTGCGCATTGTCTGCACGCGTGCACGGGCTGCACGGTCGCGCGCATTGTATCGTACTGGGGTTTGCCTGTGTCCTCCTCTAAAAATGAACACCACAGAGAGCATACACCGCGCCGCAAAGGATACACAGAGGAACGAACGAACGCCATGCATATAGGAAAGCGCGGAGTTGTGCGGCGTGCAGCTGCGAAGAGGCAAGAGCGAGCGAGGGTCACCTAGCCACCCTTCTCTCTGCAGGCACGGCGGCGCAGCCCGCCCACCCAGAAGGCGTTCGCGTGTGTGGTGTGGCGTGTGAGTATGTGTGCGTCGTGCAGGCATCGACACGAGACGACCGGTGCGGGCTACTGAAGGAGAGACCATGCGAGAGGAGCGGGAACGGGGGCGGGGCAGCGGTGCGCGCGTCGCCGTCATACGCGAGAGAGGCCGAAGAGGGCCTCGCTCCATAAATTAATGGGCCCCGGCCGCGGGCGTGTGAGCCAGTCGGCCGGACTGGGCGTCGCATTAGACAGACGCCGGCGAGGGCGGCTCAGAGGGGGAGGCGGTTGCGCATGAGGGGCCGGAGTTTCCGAATCTGACCTGTCCCCTTCCGCCGCCGGGTGGCCGAGGGAAGGGCGGTGCGGAGGACGACACTCAAACGCCGCTGGATCCGGCGGTGGCGGTGGCGGCGGCGGCGGTGCTCGCGCCGTTCTTGGTGAAGGCGTTCACTGCCTGGAGAGCGGCGGTGAGGGGGCGGTGAGGAAGAGTGATGGAGAGCACGGGGCGGGGTATAGGCTGCGGGAGACGCGAGGTAGGGAGGGAGAGGGGGCCAGGGGTGGTGTGTGTGTGTGTGTGTGTGTGTGTGTGTGTGTGTGTGTGTGTGTGTGTGTGTGTGTGTGTGTGTGTGTGTGTGTGTGTGTGTGTGTGTGTGTGTGTGTGTGTGTGTGTGTGTGTGTGTGTGTGTGTGT